GTAACACATGCCCAAACCAGCCTAAACTATGGAAGTTGACTACTTGCGCCAGTGGACGACCACAATTACCTGAAACTCTGCGCCTAACATCAGAATTGCTCGCCCGGTTACCCCACCAGACTAGTGCAGTGCGACGTAGACAGCAACGTATACTCGGCTCTTCACAGACAACCGGACGTCGCGACGGCGCCACAGGTGTCGCGAGTTGGCAAATGCCAACTGAGCAGAAACTTCATTCGTGTTGCGCCCTCCGGGTGAGATGTAGCTGTCCAAATAACAAAACTTATCCACTTGATCTATTACTTTCCCAGTTACTGTGAGCCTTAGAGATGGACCAAACTGGTCTTGTAGTAACATTATACGCTTTGAAGGTGCAAAACGTATACCAAACATGGTTACACTAGCACTCAAACTATCCAGAAAGGCTTGCATTTTACCTAGATCTTTCCGTAGTAGCCCAATGTCGTCTACATACTCTATATCAGGCAGTGTGCCATTTGGTAGTAAACCGAGACCACTATCCTCGCACGAGGATAGGGCTATTTCAAGAATTGAACTCATAAATCAAGTTAAATAGAAAAGGAGAGAGAGGAAAACTCTGTCGAACACCACTTTCTGTGGTGAGCTCGGGTAAAAAGTTGCCGTAACCTCGGACTCGACTTCGGCTGTTAGTATAAACAGATTGTAATATTGAAATAAACTTCTCAGGCGCAACCTTTAGAGCGAGGTCTTGTGTGGACGGGGGCCAGGTGATCTGTGTTCCTCAAAAGGTTCTGCCTAACGTTCAAGACGGCATTTTTGATTTGATCGTGCGCCAGAATCTGCCTTCATTTTGATTGTTATTCGAATCGCTTCCTTGATTACCATCTAGTGTTCGTTGAGTCCTCCTTCTGATGGTTGAGCTGAGGGGCGAGTTGGCAGTACCAGAAAGTGACGTGTTCTTCTGAGACTGAAAATCCGCATAAAGTTTTTCACAAACTAAATAATTTCAAATTGAAACATGCTACCCAAGGAAGTTTAGGGCTCACCAAAATCAAAGCTTTCAGCTTTAGTTTCAGTTTTCGCAACCATTAACCGTGCACTTTTGTGCGCCGGTTTTGGTTGCTATCTTTCGGCCGCCCATCTGTATGAAAGAGCAGGATTAAGACTGGGATATTGAAAGCAAATTCAAGCGGAAATTAGAAAATTCATACGAACTGGTTTTAAGAGAATGCGCAAGATGATTGCAGACCTGTTCTTTTGGGATAGTTGGATGCGCTAATGTTTATTTGTTCTGAGATTTGAAAGGATATCAAGATGCACCTCACAAAAAGATTTATTGGTTCGTAGATTTCGGGACCGAAGAATACGTCAAAAAGCAAAACGCGGAATGTAGAATCAACGCGGACAAAAGCAAGCCGCACTAAACTAAATTTTGAATTTATAAGCGTGCATCGGGTACCATTAATTGTTTTTACTAAAACCGGAGGTCAGGCAATTAGAACACAATATACAACTCACGAATTTCCGGGGTGTTGATCTGTGAGAGGCAAGATTAGCTTATTCAATGAGCTAATTATTGGTGCTGCCAATTCATATCGGATTAAGAATAAGTGGGATTCAAGAGGATACAAAGGAAGTGTAGGTATAAATAGATAAAACGAAGGGAAAAGTTTACAAAGACCAATAATATGTTCATGTGATTCACTGATCACTTTTTTAAGTTTTAGAATGCGGTTATTAGCTCAATGGATCAGATATGTGTATATAATTCTGTGTGAATAGGACGTAAAGTAACTACCAGTTGAAAATAACGAACAGTTTTGGCTAAAGAAGAAATTACGAGTCAACTTAATAAATCTCATGACAACAGTTTCCGTTGTAATCATATACTCCGAGCGAATCCTAAACTAAATTGACAAAGAGTGAAACTCAGAATGTTTTTAACCGAGTCACAACACTAAGGACTAGTCCTTACTGTTGTGCTAAGATGAGCGAGGTGGAATGCTTGCAACAAGTTTACAAAGATCGGTTATACTATATCGGGTGTGAATAAAATGAAAACTGGTCTGATCTGTTGCTCGATCGTCAAGTGGGTAGTACGCTTGCGTTCTCCCCACGAGGTCCCGGGTTCGATTACTAGAGGATTTGATGGATTCACATGGTTAACAAGACCATACCAATTCAATATTCTTGTACAGTGCTTTCTGATTATTCAGTTCTCGAATCAGTTCTCGGCACACGACGAAATCTAAAAAATAGCAATTGTAATGAAAAAATGTCAATCAGATCACAGAATTTTAATTTAAATCAAATGTATGATACAACTGTATTGATACTTCAGATTATAGCTTATGAGTAACATAGAAAATATATTTTTCAAAACCGCTTGGATTTATAGTTTGTCCAGAAACCTCAATTATTCAGGTGAGCATCAAAAGTGAAACGTTTGGTGTTGAAATGCCTGAAGTGGAGATAACATCGGGTCAGAACGGAGGGCTTTGTTGAGACAGATGGTTGACTACGGAGATAGTCACTTCAGAGTTCGACGTTAAGTCCCGGGTTGCTTTTGTTATCTGTTAAGTGGGTAAAATTGGTCCGTACCATAACTTTTCTGATAATATGAACTTAAACGGAACAGTAACTGATGGCAAATAACAGCGAAATTTGGATAGAATATTACAGCAGCGGCCTAGGACTCTCCATTATAAAAATTAGAAAATGGCCACATCTTATTGCGCAGAATAGGTATGGTCCACTTGGTATAGAAATCCATTGGAAGTCCAGATTGAACTGAAACTATAAGTGTGGATTCAAATCTGATAAGAGCAAACTCAAAGCTAAATCATCAAAACCAACCGGTGACGCCTAAGTTAGAATATACATCATGAAAAATTAAAAAGAAAATTATTCCCTTTCATATGATCAGGATTATTCTTAAAACTCCCCTTGACATAAGTTAGACAGGCCGAGACAACTGCATTCAAACCAACATACATTTCATAGTGAGGAATATAAAATGTGTGAGCACGAACAGCGTCGGTTTAGTCAGTGATTTCGACATACTGTGGGATCGAAGTACGAGCAGAAACTTCGTAAGATTGCATTATTTTAGGGACTTAAAAGGGAGATAGTGTAATTTGTTAGAAAAGTTTGCTGAAAACAAATTGAAGACGAAGATGTTGACAACAATGTACTGTTCTAAAGCGTAAAGGCAGTTAATCTTACAGACGGTACTTACCGGGATTAGCAAATAAAACGCAGAGGTTTGGAACAGTAAGATGTTTTTTACAGGAAAGCAGATGGAACAGCTGAAGGAAGCGGTGAAAACAAGGTTGGTGATATAACTTAAAAGTAGGTTAGAAAAATATAGGATAAATGTCTTGGCGTTAGGTGAGAGCAAATTTCTGTGAGAAGAAACTGAGTAGAGTACTCAAGTTGTTGCTTAACAGATTGAAATCATGTTGAAGTTGTGAAACGTTCAGTAGCTTCCATGTGGTTTGCAACCAAGCATTGACACCACCTAAGCTTTTTGTATAGCGCACACTCTACCAGCTGAGCTACGAGGCCATAAAGACAGCACTGATCTTTTCACACTCCATTATTCTTCAACGAATCTGCTTTGTTGATCAATTTTATTTCACGCTCGATCTACAACTTTTTGATTACATTAAGTTGATAGCTGAAAGATGGAACTAAAACCTTGAGAAAAAAATCGGTTGTTAAAGTTCATAGAATCATACTAAACTGAGCGTGACTTAAACAGGTTCAAATAACGGCCGTATTTTAAGGCTTTTTACTTCCTTTCACTGAATACACAACTATAAAACTTTCAGGTAGAGGGTGAGATGAGGCCATGGAGACGCTGTCTTTGAGAAACATTTAAAAAGAAATAGCTGGGATGCGGGGGTAGAATTCGTCTACATGTCCTCCGAGTGATTGGTTAGGATCTTGGGCCACCTCTGTTGTTGAAGCATTCGCGGGTAAAGCCTAGGCGCCAGTCGGAGCAAGGAAATCGACAAATCGAAACATCACTGTCAATTTCTGGACGATGTATTGAACTGAAATGAACTAATCACAGCCTTTCATAACAATCTGGGCCTAAATTCAAGTCACTGCGTTAGTTAGGGAATGCAACACCGAGACTCAATATTACTGGACAATTTTGATGAAAGATTATGAAAAATACAGAAAATGCAATCTTACAAGAAAACTAAGAAGTTATTTCCTTCCAAACCTGGTAATTAATAATTTGCACCGATGAATGAATATGATAGGACAACGTCACCAAACATCTGAATGAACAGATTCCTCGGTACTGTCCAAGATGATTTGGGAAGTAAAAGTAAGAAAGGAACTAAACGTGGAAGTCACAATCAGCTGTTCTGTATTTATGAAAATAGGGATAACACAGTTGTATGCAGTTGTTATTCACGTCTATTGGTATCAAATTAAAAGATAAATAAAAGCTCTGTACTGATGGAAAAATCATAGTACCTAAACAATTGAAAGAAAATAAGGAATTCCATTGTACTTTTGTTTGATCAAAGTCTGAATTAAGACTGATCGAGGTTCGGTCATACCGCTTTACAGGTCAGTGTGACTGGATGCATTGTGGACCCATCCAACCACGTTCTCCACGTAGAAACAGCCAGTGTTGAAATCTTCGTTGAATGGCATCATTTGCACAAATCAAATGTGCAGTTAACCATCGAACGAACCTATGGACCATTGATTTATTCAGAGTATCTTTCAAACCATCTATTTATATGTTACTTATATAAAAGTTTGTCCTAGTTTACTGAGCAATAAGGATGACTGAAAAAAGTAAAGGCCTTAGGTGAAATGGCATTAACTTTTGTGAATGAATGTATTCGAGAGACTGATTGAGAAACAAAATGGGGAAAATTACTACTTTCCCGTGAATTCGTATCCACTTTATAATATGGATAATTTTATTTTATTTCCACAACTTTCCCGCTTCAGTTTGAACGCATAGCTGACCCAGACTGCAATACAGGATGAACAAATCTCGTCTGCACTGTGGAGGATTTGAGTTTGATTCCGAACTGATATGGACCGACTGGAAACCGGGTATTCAATATGTTAAATCTATCCATGTTAAAAATGTCAGCCCAAGAGCCATGGAAATCAAGTACAGGTACGGGACAACTTTCCATCCTAATCAGAAAATGTTTTATATTGATCATCTAGTCTTCCAGAAACTAGTCAGTTTCAGACAAAATTTCCGAAACCGCGTAAAATTGCTGCTGGTGCTCAGTTTGACTTACCGGTTACATTTACCCCGATCACGGAACAGCTCTACGAGGATCACGTGACTTTTACTATCAAGGTAATCATCACTGTGGAAAGATAACAATCAAAATAACTCATTTTTCTTCTGGAATCAAAAGAACGCGGAAACATTTGTAGTTCGCCTACGAGCCGTTTTACCTGAATATAACCTAACTGTTCCAAAAAAGTTAAATTTTGGTTCTGTCGCAGTGAATGACGCTAAATCGCAAATATTTGCTATTCGAAATATGAGGTATGTTGTCTTTACCGGTGCGTATTCTTCAACCGATATTGTTACAGTACCCTCGAAACACCGTTTGTTGTTCGCATCCAGTCACCATTTTATGTGAATCAAACTGAGGGTTATTTAACATCTATGGAGAAACGAATGATCGAAATGACGTTTCAACCGAAAGTATGATCAATTATTGTTCTGTACACTGTTTTCCTTATTCTTTAAGACCCCGGGAATTTTCAGCATGGAAGTACGTTTTGATTATGGCTCAATCAATGAAAAGTCGACAACAATGTCTTTGTGTGGTAAAGGTTAGTGGTTGTTCATTTAGTGATACGTTGAAATTGCTGCTCCAGCTGAATATCCCAAACTGGCGCTGATTGCTGACGGCATGGTTGGTGATGAAGATTGTATCACCGAACGCGGAGAAGAAAAATTAATCAATCTGCGATTTCCAACTACTGCATCTGGTTCGACGTCAAAAATTACTGTCATTATTGAGAATTCATCTAAGGTACGGTAGAGTACAATTAAAGTTTTCGTTTGTTTATTACCGAATATCACAATCATGCAGTTGCAATCACTCAGCGCTAGTGTACAGTACTCCCACATTCATTTACTTACTGTCAATGAATACAAAGGATTCTAGAAGCCGTATTAACCAAAGGAATGTCATCTGCAACTAATAAGTTGGAATGATAGGCGGCGGTGCCGAGTTCCAACACTTAGTATGTTAGTGAGCCTTATTGCTTAATCATAACCACCCGTATGGTTGCCGTATAAACTACATACGGGTCAATATACTAATACGTGCAAGCTTAATTGTGCTACCATTATAAATTTACTAATTTAGGGATCAAAAGATGATGTGGAGACGAGGTATGAAGAAGGGTATAGAGAGATTCGGTAGATTGTTGTCTCTTATCCTTTAGATTGTGGTACAAAGAGCTCTGTAACTGATTGGTTGGAGGCGCATGAAAGTAAACCGATAAGAGCGGGTAACGTTTTTGTCCTTTAGTACCAAACCAAAAACCTTGAAAAGCTTTGTGTACTGATGCAGTCCATGTAAACTATACCGGACACACTGATTCACTTTATTCTGCCCTCTCTCAAATTAGGCCTACTCGCTATCCATTTCACACATAGTTTTTTTTTATATGGTTTGAGCTTCGCAGAGACTAAGTTCCCTTCGCTGAAAAATAATCATGTGATTGACTCGTGTGATGAATATGATGACGATGATAAACAAAAAATATATGAATACAAATCAATTAGACAAAATAAAAACAATAGGTTTCATTTATTTTCACTGAAGTTGAATAACTGTGGTAACTGTATTTATTATGCTACTTTTTACGGTAATTGATCCATTTTTCGCCGCGTTTCACTTATCAAAGGATGAGATCTGTGTATTCGTTTGCTGAAGTTACCCACAATATATTTAGATAAAGAAGTACTCTAAATTGTGAAATAAGTTATGGTCTTTCCTGAAATAAATGGTAACCCACGCTTTTGACAATTTGAAATGTTTCGGTTGCAGACTATAAACAACTAAAGTGTCAATTCAGCTAGCGATAAAAAGTCTGTAAAAAATTTCCCGAGCACTGCAAACAAATAAACATGAAATATCAGTATAAACGTTTGTGTTCGCAGTTGTATTTCCCACACTGATATTTGATTCGATCGGGGGCTAAAACCTGGTTGGTGGACCACTGATAGTCCATATAGCGGAGTTGGTCCAAAAACCTGATTCCAAACCAAATAAGAAGAGGAGTACGAACCACATTCACCCACACCCTCCTCGGTGTTGCAGTGGTCACCGGCTCCCAATGGATTGCGGTTTTTCACACACCACCCGCTGTCTTGCGGGTCAGGCTTTGGTTAGCCGAAGGCTCGGGTTGTGGATTCCTGAACAAAATTCACCTGCCCTGGCCTGCACAACCTGTCTGTAATCAGTCCACATGCCAATCGTGAAGCGTTTTCCTTTTTCTTTAAAGATTATTGTACCACGATATATTTCGCATAGCCTGGTGTCGTACGTGTTATCTATCTATCTATCCATCTATCTATCTATCTATCTATCTATCTATCTATCTATCTGTCTGTCTGTCTGTCTATCTATCTATCTATCTATTTATCCATCTGTCTGTCTATGTATCTATTTATCTATCTATTTATCTATCTATCCATCTATCTATCTATCTGTCTATATTTATTTATAACAGAAACCCAAGAGCGCTGAACGACTGTTTATTTGTTTGTGTAAATTCGTGGAAATGCGCTGTGAAAGCTAGTTTTTGATTTTTTGATTCGTTCCCTAAATTTTATTTACGGTTAAAATCCCTAAATCTTTTCCATTTCGTGACCGCTTTTTAACATCTATATTTTCTGTCCTCAAATTCTAGGATCGATTGGTAAATATACGAAAGTCAATGATAAGTGGCTAACAATCACAGGTAGATTAGAAAAATACTAGAACACCAATTTCACGCTCGAAATGAAAATCTCCTGTTTGAAGAATCCATTTAGTCGATATACCGCCAGTGGAGATTAAACTTTTGTTGACAAAGTTTTGAAAATCAACTCGGCAAACAGGTGAAATGTAATTGAACTTTGTGACCTGGTGATTACTCTGTTCAGCGCATAAACGGTATGGACAGGTATTCGCAATATAACTAATTCTTGCTAATGGTGTTCAGTGGTCATTAGTTTTATTTATCCGATTCTGTAGATTGTTTTTTCAAAATTGTTGCTAATTTCAATCCGGAACAAAAAACCTAAGGAACTGTTGGTAACTCCTTAATGAGTTAAAAACTCTGTGGGAGGAAATCATCCAAATATGTGCTTACAAATACAAGATATTTGAAATGCTTTGTACAATGTTTCCGTATGATAGCCGAATCTGTGTAGTGGACACGTTGTGTTTGGTAACAGGAATCAATCTGTTTTGGAATTGAAAATCAAAAACTATGGTTGCCAGCTACTGAAAAGCGCTCAAAGCGGTGAGAAGTCTGTGCTGGTTCTTCAACAGTTCTGTTTTATTCATTTTAGTTGCATTCACGTGTTGTTCAACGTTTTTTCTAACCGTTTAGCTTAAGCTTAATTTGTTATACTTTTCCGTTTGTTCAAGAAAATGATATATCTGATGGAACGGATGTGCAAGATATCCTATAGGCTTCATTCAGAAAGAGATCAGTCACGTTCTTTTTACCCAACTGATGCATCAGTGGAGTTGGCAGATATACGAATAAGGTTCCAATGGTGCATGTACGGCTTAGATGTACCGCTTGTTTGTTCATACCCATGGGCAAGTAACGGAGATAATGCGAGAGCCCTCACGCTAGTGGATTCCTTGAAAATCGTGGTATAATCAATCATCCCAAACGTGGGGCTTCAACCATAATTGTCTTCTACTAGGCAGTTGGTTGGCCAGACAATAAAGAAGAACAAACGAATATGGAGTGTACAAGAACGTAAAGAGAGCCAAACGTGGACCATGAGAAAACCAGATGCTTGAGGGAGGTCAAGAGATACTACTCAAACCCGNAACCCGCTACTGGTTAAGAAAATTGACAATATCACTTAGTTTCTTAAACCATTAATTTCCATTAGTCCCGTGATCTCAACCGGAGAGGCTAAACCAAACTAGTTGACTGTTTTCACTATTATACATCTTCCAATCGCGAGAATTCACCGTAAGCCTGTTTTCAACCTATACCCTTCTCGGTAAAGATCGGGTTTTGAGGGACTCCGTAACGTACAATGCCATCGCGACACTTGAGTACTATGCATTCATTTTATTGTGCGACCTCAATTATCTAACGCTTTTAGTCTGCACTTGACACTGCTGATTCGGATGTCCAACGGAACTGCTGTAATACATGATGGCCTACATTACGGCAACAGCGCTCATCATATTTGCATCATGTGTGACCTCAATTAGGGGTTGAACTCGAACAGGCAAGCAACCGTTGATTGCTTTTCTCACAGACAAATAGTTTCTGACAAAACAATTCCTAACAAATTGAGAAGTAGCAGACCAAACGACGTGCCATTCAAAGCGGAAGACAAGCGACCGAAGCAAAGCAATTTTCGAGTCAAAAATTTCAACTTTCTCTCATTTGTGTGGTCATTTGGATCTGTTTTTAAGGTCGACGCAACTGCTCGCATCGCCCCCGTGGGCAGTGAAGTCGGTTTCACGGGGGAACAAAACTTTCGAGTCACATCCAGTCAAACGATTGTTCGACCAGGTCAAAGAATTGAAATGCCGGTAAGCTTTGACAAGCAATGATACACTCCATATTTCATTAAATGTGAGCATATGTTGCATGACTATGCTATACTTTGCCGGATAAAGGGCATTTCCCTTTATCTATAATGGGATCAGAAAACAGACAGAGTGATTGAAAATTATTATCGTTCGTTTTGATCTATTTTTCTGTCATATATTTTTCTTACTGCACATAAATCCAAAACAAGTGGCGACTGTAACAGTGGAAGAAGCTGAGAATTCTGAGGACGTCCTTCCTCAGTGTTTGTATAAGCTTCCACCATGCACTTTTCACGTTCGTATTTTACTGAAAATGAATGGCATGGATGATAAAATTTATTTCATTCTTCTTAGAATACACCATAATAATACATTCATAACTCTAAAATACTGGTGCCGCACAACACGATCGCTTCGTTAATAGGTCCACTTATCCAGACGTTCGCATCCTGTTTTTGGTGCTTATCAGCAAATGCTTAGCGAATCTGTTAGTTGATGGCAAATATCAGCTCTGAGGATGTGTATTCCGGTCCCTTACTTTACATACTATTTATAAATGACGGAGAATCGATCAACTAATCTTTATCGTTGGATTAGCTCTATTTCGCAAGACAGTAAAATACTCGCCGATCGGCTTGAATCGGTTGATTCTTAGGTGCCGTGGCAGGTGTGCTGAGGTTCTCATTCAGACGCAACTGACGTTTAGCTAGTCTCGGCATAAGTTGATGTGATTATATAGTATATATATATATATATACATATATATAGGGGCTTGTTAACAGACATGTGCCAACACCGCAATACTATTATTTGTATGAAAGAAATCACTTGTATAAAAACGAGAACGGTACATAAAAAAATTGCAGCGTAAAGGAACAACGAAAACAATGATGCTTTTTGTTAGTTTAACCTTAAACTGATTATTTTGTGTGCCTGTCTTTTTTACCGGACAAACGCCATCCTCACAGCTCAGAGTCCAGGTCTGAGGCGCAAAGTGGAACACTGCAAACCGTGGCACTGCACTCATCAAAGAAAACTGGCATCCCACTACGACACCATGAGTG